TCGTGGTCAACTTCCTTTTCTGCAACTGCTCCTCGATGGAGGTGATTTTCAGCAAGGCACTGAAGCTCTGCCAGGCGGCCTGCAGTTCTGGGACGGTCGTTACAGGGAGAGTACTGTGGTGTAGATTTGGAGCACTAGATTTGCACATCGCAGCAGCGAGTAGAAATGATCAGGACTAAACATCTTAGGAAAGGAACACATGTTTGCAAAAGGATATCCGTAGCTATCCTTCACACGTGCAAATGGTTGAAGTCAAGACATCTTTTGAGAACCCTCTACTAACAAAAGTTTCTTCATTTGGATTCATTTGTGCAGCTTCATGCTTTTGCAATTGACCCATCTGGCTCTGACTCGATCCAGCTTGTGCTCAAGAACAACGATGCTGCAGTGAGTTGAAGTACTATGGATTCATTGTTGATTCTTAACGGTTCGCACCCGAGTTCCATGAGAGCCAGTCAGACAGTCCGAACATATCTATCCCGGTGAGTGTGGCAAAGATTTCCCCTTGAGTGTTTCCATTGGGCCGCGATTGTCCCTTTCTCATGGACCTGCTGTGGATGTCACAGTGAATGACAGTACACGGCCCTCGCCACTAGCTTGTCTAGTTTGCCAGAGCCGCCGGAGCAGGTCAGAGATCCCATTCAGGACCAAGAACCCCAGGTGTACGGTCAGAGATTTGCTGCTGTACTAGTTTCGGTGAACGAGCATGAGACCGCAGGGGCAGGCCAAGAATCCCGCAGTCTCCCCATTGTGAAGGAACATTGATCTCTCGTCCAGTTTGCTTGCTGGAGCACATTGCAGATCCAATAGACAAAGGCCACATTTCGAAGCTGGTGTCGGATCCATCTATGCAGATTGAGGAAGATGCCTATTCCCCAAAGCCGTCACTTTTCAAGAGGTGGATTCGCGCTCCACTGCAGATATCTCCAGTGCATCTACAGCTGTGGCTCGAAGCCCAATGAACAGGCATTCAAGTACATGAATGCTCTCCTACCAGAGGCGCACCAAAAGAAATATGAGGTTTGGAAGTCTTTCTTTTGGTGTTTGCATTTACCTTCGTGGCTATTGCTTCTTCGTACTTCCTTGGTTTAGGGTCGAGGGAACGCATGGTGCTGGAGAAGGAGGTGTTGGGAATGGCGTACGTGCGGTCTTTGGGCATCATCCTACCTTTGTTTATGTTCTGGATCCCATACTTGCAGTTCTTCATGACCTGGGCACAATGGCCTGTGGAGCCCTAGGTAGTTCTTGGCCTTTGCCGGCAGCACCCATTGTCCCTGACAACAACAACTCCACAGACCCATCACCTCAAACCGGCAAGTCGAATGAGGATTTGGTGACGTACATCACTCAACTTGATTAGTTACACAAAGAAGCTGAAGCCCTTGAGAAAGATGTAGAAGTTGAAGAGGCGGAGCAGAAATAAGCGACCTGGAGGGCCAAGGTGCGTCAGATTTGGGGTGACACAAAGACAACCAGAGTCTATTGGACCGGGAGTGATCTGAACATGGCCATGGTTCCTGGCAAAGCCAAGGGCTGTTTCACACGAACGCGAGCTCGAGCGCGTGTTTCACCAGGTTGCTCAGAGGGCCCTGCTTTTTTCTTCAGAGTCTGACCTCAAGTAGGTTGGAGGCCATCGCTAGTAGGTTGGAAGCCATCGCTAGTAGGTTGGAGGCCATCGCTAGTCGGTTGGAGGCCATTGCTATTACTGTAGGTCTGACTTCAAGCCTCCAGACTCTCCAGATACACAGCATGTATCACCTCAGACCACTCGGTTGATTTTACCAAGACTCCTTGGGATGATCGTGTTTGTTTTCGGTTTCGATTTTACTAAATTTGGCTAGGACCTGAACGACCAGCCCTTGACCGAAGCCTTGCATGCATGTCAGAAGCTGGCTGAGGCACGAGCTAGGGGCCCTCAGCAACTGGGGTTGGTCGTTTCCAGCTGGTGTCATTTTAGTGCACCTAGGCATCCAGTTTCATCCCGTTGTGGAATAACATGGAATAACTATATGTAAAGGATCAACTTGCTTCTGTACTGGCTTGGTGCGGAGTCCGCTTTGCAACTACTACAATGAACCAAGAATGGGTCAAACAATATTTTGTAATATCTAAATATCTAATTACTCCCTTGAATTTAGCACCTGCTCACATCACAAGGAACAGGCCTGTTTACTTTAGGTCAGCAGCTCAGCTCACCGATATGCCAGGAGCAGTATGCGGGAAGAAAAACGCCCCCCCTCGGCCAGTGAGTGCCTGCCGGTGGCACAAGCGCGCCAGTCGCGGCGCAAGCGGTCCCAATAGTTGACCTCCCTGAAAACCTTGTCACTGTGGGCTTAAGAATGGACAGTCCCACAATAGTGTTGCAACATGCTGCGACTTATGTTAGGCTTAAGGCTTAAGAAAGCACTGGTTGCTTACTTGCCACCTTTTTAATTAAAGACAGTACCGAAGAGTTCCAAGAGTCGCTCGATTTTGCTGTTCTTCTTTTTTTTATTTCACACCTTTCTGTGAAGCTTGCCACGCAGCACCCTGTCGCTGGCCAGAGCCCAGAGCGAGACAGGAGCCAGCGGTCGCGGCGTCTTTCGTTTCACCCGGAGGCGTAAAAGGCGCCCCGGCTCTCCTGAAAAGAAAGCAGCCGATCTGGTCCAAGTCAGGTGGATGTGTCCCTAAGTTTGTGGCAGAGCACAGGCTTTGGCCCTGCCTTTTCTGTAAGTCGAGGCGTGTGGCATTGTGTATGAGGGTGAGCCACAGGTGTAATTGTTGTGAAGCGTTTGCTGCATTGGGCCTCAGATCCTTTTTCATGCTGGGCTTTTTGGTTCCCTGACTTGGTTTGCTCCAGAGTTTTTCTCCCGCAGCTGAACCTAGTAGCATCAACAATTGGTTTTGCTCTAGCACAACGTGGGGGCATGACAGCAGCAACAAGAACTTAGACAGCCCAGCATAACTCAGCAGCACTTTCAAGAGTTGCAACCTGTGAGGCTCACATTGGCAGCTCTAGCATGCTTTAGCATGTTTTTGATGGCATCATATTCAGACATAGTGATGCCAAGGGGTGGCCAGAGTCACTCGACGGGTTCCCAAGAACTAACATAGAAACTGAATGAAAAGCAAAGGAAGTCCTAGTTTTCCTGACCAATCATGGGCTGGCCATCCATGTTTGCCATTGTCTGATGGCTCCAAGATGCAAGAGCTGAAGGATCTGCCGCTCTAAAACACTGGGTTTTCCAAGTGCCAGTCACGCGATTCCCTCTATGACAAGCAGTTTGGGCGCTGACGAAACCTGGCCATGGAGGGAAGCGCGGATCTTCGAGTTCCAGATCTGCTTCAACAAGGAAGATGCCTTGGGCTTACATGTGAACAAAGAGAGATCATGCCGGAGATGATCCAAACAAGTATTTTCTGACTTTGGATCAGAGAACGATGGAGAAGCTGAGGGTGGGGACCGCAGCCAAGATTCAACGTGTCTCATCCTGCGTCTGCGCTGCTGCACGGCGACAAGACTTTGGAGGTCAATGGCCAAATGCCCACGGTGGAGGGCCAAGGGTACTAGGAACAAGGATGCTACAAGGGGCTCCTGGCCTTACTACTAGGAGCATTCTTACTACTAGGAACAAAAAGCATTTTCCCTTCTGTATGCTTGGCGGGTAAAATCTGCAGCTCCAGCACCCGACAGGTCAAGCTGCAGCAAGTCGTCATGTGAAGTATGAGCTGGGCACTCACGGTGAGGTCAACTCTGCGAAGCCAGATCAATTCAGACACTTGGTGGGTTGGCTTTCAGTTCCCTTACCTTCATTCTTTTAGGTTGGAGGCCATCGCTAGTAGGCACTGGACGCCATGGCTAGTAGGATGGAGGCCATTGCTATTAGGTTGGAGGTCATCGCTAGTAGATTGGAGGCCATTGCTAATAGGTTGGAGGCCATCTCTTCTATGTAGTTAGTTCCCTTATGCCTAATTCCTTATTGCGGGTACTTCCAGGCACTGACTTCTGACTCCTTGACTGAAGCTGAGAGGTTCCGCAAAGAAACACCGATGATTCTTGGTAATGTGGCTGTGAACACGTTATATAGTCTTCTGTATGCTGGATGTGGAAAATGTGAACGCATTTAAACCCAAGGGGGCGGCCTAATTTTGCAATTGTGTATGGCCATCATAATCATATACTGTACTGATCGGAGCCTAGAACCGCGGAACTCTGAAGCCTGGGAACCTAAGACACCGGAACCAGGCCTTGATCGCAACTTTTTGGCATTCTGGAGCCATCCCTGATCTCACATTGGATTGCTTGTCCATGCCAACTTGTTTTGTATTGGAGATGGCGTTGGCCGAAATACACCTCCTGAGTTTTCTTTCGCAACATGCTCACTGGGGTCTATGCCGGTGTTATGTGTATTTTAGTGTATTTGTACATATAATTACACACATATATATATATAATATCTATATCTATATATATATATATAAATATGCACGCTTTTCCTGTCGAAACAACGGATGTGTTTTTCTTGCTTGCGTCAGCTGTGAGGCTGAGTTGTCTCATATCCAGTTCTCATACCTCTCGCATGACATGGGCGGTCCAACAGAGACTCGTTGCTCACGGTCGCTCCTCCAGTGGTTGGGATAGTGAGAGTTTGTAATAGTTTGTCAATATGTTTTTCGTTTGAACAAAAAGAGCATTTGTTTCAGAGATAATCACAGGGAATGCCGAAGCTGAAATCAATTCACTTTGAGAGTTTTTCTGACTGCCTTCGAACCTTTCACATGCGTTCCACTTGAGCCGCAAAATCAATGGTGCTGGTCAATGCTGTAGAACCTACGTGTGGTGTTATTGTCCTTCATTGGTTGGATGAGGTGAAATGGGGTGAGGTGGTGTGAGGTGAGGTGGGGTGAGGCCAGGTGAGGTGGGGTGGGGTGGAGTGGTGGGGTTGGTAATCTGAGGTGAGATGAGGTGCAGTGAGGCGAAATGGGGTGAGGTGAGGTGGGGTGAGGTTGGGTGAGGTGGGGTGGGGTGAGGTAAGGGTGAGACGAGGTGGGGTGAGGTGGGGTGAGGTGACGTGGTGAGTAGCAATGGCTTTGTTGCCCTTGGATCCTGTCAACACACAGGCTCACCACGGTCAAAACATTTCCGCTTCCGGCAACGAGAGCACACGAGCAGCGGTTTGCAGGCGGAGGATGGTTGTAAAGTTGTAAAGATCTTCCCCGACGGCTTGTGCGAGCGGGAATGCGTCGGCTGATCATGGTGGCGGATGGTGCTCGGAGCTTCATCTCTTGGCTTTGCCGTGGCTTCTGGCTCCGTTTCAGATTGGTGGCGTGAGGTTGTGACCTTGCGGGTGAGAGGGCTTCTGCACGATTCCGGATCTGAGCGGTGCGGCGAGAAGAGACACTGTCGGTTGCTTGCTCGCAGTCGTTTGGGATACAGAGGTTTCTTTCGGTTATATAGGATGCGGCTGTTGTGGCGGGCTGCTGGCGTCGGTCGTTGTTCTTTGCCATTGATTTCTGTGCTGTTGCCTTGTGGGGCTTTTCTTTGGACCTTTTGCTCCAGGCTGGATGCAATGTGAGGTCTACAACTTCACGCCGGCATTTGGGAGTAAAGTTATCGCCTGAGATGCGGGGAGGTCATTTTGAAGAGTCGCAAGTTAACCGGCTTGTTTCGGTAAATGATGTTGACCCATCTCGTCGAGGATTCTCTGAAAGCCTGAAAAGTTTCACTGAAGGAAAAGGTCCTTCAAATTAGAAAGAGACACCCGTTTCCGTTTCTAGGATTCAGCATCTCCTTCACCTCCGACCATGCGAGCAGCGGCATTCTTGGGAGGTCAAGACACAATCCATGGTGCTGGCAGCCCTGGCAGATTTGCAAAGTCACATCCCAGCCCAGCCAAGTTTTTTTGTTTTCTGGCCTCCCCTCGGCCAGTGAGAAGATGGCCAAACATGTGCAAAATGAATGCCGGTCCTGGCGCAAGGGGTGCCAACGGCGTCCAGTTTTACCCGGCGTAAAAGTCGCCCCGGCTCTCCTGAAAAGAAGGCGGCCGATGTGGTCCAAGTCAGGTGGATGTGTCCTCAAGTTTGTGGCAGAGCACAGGCTTTTGCCCCGCCTTTTGTGTATGTCGAGGCGTGTGGCATTGTGTATGAGGGTGAGCCACAGGTGTAATTGTTGTGAAGAGTTTGCTGCATTGGGCCTCAGATCCTTTGTCATGCTGGGCTTTTTGGTTCCCTGGCTTGGTTTGCTCCAGAGTTCTTCTCCCGCAGCTGAACCCAGTAGCTTCAACAATTGGTGTTGCTCTTGCACAACGTGGGGGCATGACAGCAGCAACAAGCACTTAGACAGTCCAGTCCAGCAGTCCAGCAGCCAGCATAACCCAGCAGCACCTTCAAGAGTTGCAACTTGTGAGGCTCACATTGGCAGCTTTAGCACGTTTATATTGGCCACATATTCAGACATGGTGATGCCAAGGGGTGGCCAGAGTCAATTTTGCACCTTCTCCCAAGTCGTCCAGAAGCATACGTTCCCATACGTTCCCCCCATGTCATTGTTTCCAAACCCGGCATCTTGATACCAACTGAACATACTGGTACCCGAGAACCAAAGTCCAACCAAATGCATGATCCAGCAGCATTAGCAAATCTGATGCCCCCTTCCGAGCGTCCATTCCGCGCTTCGCTCCATGGCCTCGTCGCTTTCGGATGTTGCGCCTCTCGGGACTTCTCCGGGCGCGCGTCCTGGAGCGGCGCTTCGGGCCCAAGGCACACGGAGGGAGGGGCAAAGCGCTCTCGACCTCAAAGACCCTCAAGGTTCAACTTAAAATGCGAAGGAAGAATCAACAGTGGATCTAATTGAAGGGGCAAATACCGTCTTGTATTTTGTTCTTCAAACATTTAGGCAGGATATGACGGGTGAATATGGGGGAATCATGTTTAGGACAATTAGACGGTGTATATTTTGCGTCTGACTGTCGGCAAACTTATACTTAGATTTGGCGACTGTATATAGAAATTTGAAACTCCCGTGCTAATTTAATGTGTAGTTTATTCAGCTAGCTAGCTGTTGTGTTTTGATGGTCTTGATGTTTTTTTATTCTTCATTTGATGATTCCATTCTGTCGGTAGATGCTAAATGCACCAACTCCTGTGCAGGCATTTGACGGGGGCAAACTGGCCCATGACCGAGCCCCAGTGCAGTTTTGCACTCTCAGTGGTACAGCCATCGACAGAAGTGCTTTACTACCATACAAACTGAAGAGAGACGCTTGCCCAGGATTTGGAGGTCCACTTTCGAGTTCAGGACTGTGTCATTGGCGGCGAAGTCATGAAAGCATGCCGGACCATGTGGAAGCGCGTGGAAGACCCTCTTGTTTTGTGCAATCTTTGATGCAAGGGATGGTTGGTTGGTAGGTAGGTAGTACCAAGGGCAGGTTTTCCAGACATCCATCCGGAATCCAGCTATCTCAATAGGTATGTATGCTTCACCGCGAGGCCGGAATGGACATCAGGTGCAACCAGGTTTGGTCCGATTTGTCCAGTGGCCCAAACTGCTCGCCATTCGCCATGGAATCGTGTGACTCACCCCTGGAAAGCTTCATTGAAAGCACCAGCGTTTTGGAGCAGCAGATCCTTCAGCTTTTGCATCTTGGAACCATCAGACAATGGCAAACATGGATGGCCTGTCCACATTTGATCCAGAAAACTAGGACTTCCTTTGGTGCTGGTTTGTCGGTTTCATTCAGTTTCTATAGGCTCCTAGAAGCAGCTTTAGTTATTTTATGCTATTTTCGTTGCTCCAGATGTTTGGGCTGCATGGAATCGATTCACAACCACCCAGTCCCTTCAGAGCTGCTGTGTTGTAGAGTCCACACATCTTGATCTGGGACCCAAGTGGTCAATAATTGTGATTCCAAAGGCTGATGATATGATATAAGCGGATAAGCGCATTGTGGGGGAATCTTACCATGCTTTCCACCGAGGCACACTTTGGCCGGTAGCAGTGAGGCCATCCGGAACAGTTTGGCAAGACAGAAGGAGCCTGAGATTTGCGAATCAGAGGTGGCCGGTGGAACATGTACTGCAATTAATCCTGTTTGAGGGAAAGCATCCCGACTTGACCCTTTTGAGTATCGTGCGTTCAGAATCAGGGGCACTTTGTTATGTATATATGTTAGTACAATTTAATACATGTCCATGTAAATTCTAGCATCATTTACATAACACATGGCAAATTTCCGTGATGAGACAATCGGATCTCCCGCAAGACACCCAAACAAACAAGAGAGAGACATGGCAAGAGAACTACCTTAGGCAGTGTTTGTGCTCCAGGAGCATTCAGTGGCACTTTGGTCTCCGCAGCAACTTGGCCCTGCTGACAATCAATCTATCGCTTTGGATGGTATGCTGAACTTCGAGGGACTATTTGAGACATTGACATGAAACAGTGTTTGGTACTCTACAGGTAGCTCAAGGGGTGCTTCACAGCGGAGTTGCTGTGATAGATAGAACTACCATTTTTAAAAAGGCGTATCTCAGAAGTCTCTGCAAAAGAGGACGGTAAATGATGTCAACCAGGGAGGCCGGTAGGCTCCTTGTTCCACTGGTTTCTTCGAGCGGACAAGCTTGCTTCATCATTTAACTGCAGGCGATTCACCACTTGCGGTGAAGCAAAGGAAGGCCAGTGCCGGCGCTTCGCAGTTGCACACCCCTGGACATCCTTGCACCAGAAATTGATAGGGTTGATTTGGACAGCACAGCCGGCGATTCTAGATGTGTTCCGCGTGTTTGGTCTGTGACTCCAGTTTGCTCAGCAAAGCCTTCTGACAGGACTGGAACTACCGGGTGAGTTGGCCAGCCCCCGCACCTTGCCGAAGTGACGCGAGTCTCATGGAGTGGAGGGAAGTTGCTGGCGTCGGTGCCATTTTGGACGCCTGTTCGCCTCTGAGCCACCGAACATCTCTGGGTGGGTTCCTCATTGTGGCGGTATGTGTGGCTGTATGTGGCAGTATAGGGTGGGTCATGTATCAGCAAATAGCCGACCAGTGTGGCAATGGCGGATGACCGTGGCAGTGGCTAATTTGACCGGACATCTCTCCAGGAGAAAATAATTGCAGAATATTGCAGAGAAGACTCATATATATATATACATATATACACGTATACTAATACACATGCATGTCTTTGGAGCCAACCCTACCAAACTCACATCTTTGGGTGTACAGTGTGGTGGTGCATATCTGATTAGATGTCAAATTGCCCTATAAAGCAGCCAAGTGACCTTCGGTTAAACTTTCTTGTGCAGCCATACCATGCTTCGTTGGTTGCATCCCCATCCTGGACTGATAGTTTGTGGTCATCTCTGAGTCACCTCCTATGATCAACATTGACATGTGCATTCGGCATGTGTTATATTGGGTGTTTGCCCCTGTTAAACTGCGATCTTGGTACCTTTTGAGAAGACTTCCTGCATCGACGGTGGCGACACAAGCTTGACTGCTCTTTCACATCATCACAGCCACAATTCGGTTGACCTATATCCCAGCATGATCCAGCATGAGGACACGATTCTGATCCTCAAGTCATGTGCAGATGGCTGTGTCTGAGGCCCTACCACCTTCACCTCGATCGTCCCAGCCCAGCGTGGCGGTCTTTCGCCACCGGTGCCCACGGTCTCCGCGGTCTCGGTCGGGGTTTGCCGCCACACCGTGCAGCAGGCGGTTCACTCGGCAGCGCGGCTCGGCCGTCGACGGGCCAAAGGTTGGATTCGTCCGAGTGATGATGTCGAAGGTATCAAAGCTGATAGAATGGTATCATATAGCCTTCCAGCAGTATAAATATCAGGTGAAGGCTTCACATAAAGTTCCTGACATTCCACAAGAATGGACGGCACTTCCAGGGATTGCAATAAAGTCGAAGGCGTCAAAGTTGAGGGGCAATAGGTACAGAAGTACCTACTGTAAGGATTTTATGACAGTTATCAGTGTTGCACAGGTGTGAGTCCAAGTTGTGGGCATACGGCATACGTTTCTTGGGGTCAAAAACCCACTCTCCGCTCGAGGAAGGAGCCGGAAGTGAAAGAGGTGGATCCCGGGCAAACGGTCTTCATCGATGCCAAAGCCCTGAAGAAGAAGCTGAAGGAGGATTTGTGCAAGGAGACTTTGTTTTTGTTTAAGGCAAAGCCGTAAGCTGTGCTAGGACTTCCATGATCAAACTCGGTGACCAAATTACTCGGCTTGCTTAAACTCTTTCAATGATGGCAGTTCAAGCACAGGCTTTAGCCACTGTGGCTTCAGTGGTGATCACCACGGTTACTGCGAAGTACTCAAAGAATGCACGTTAGAGGAAAAGCATGATCATTTTATTATCCATGTTGCATCATGTTGCCCTGTTTAAGTTTGCTGCTATTGGACGCCAGTTCGCACGCTGTGATGATTTGCAGGCAGCAGTGAAGGATAGTGTAGGATCACTGATCACAGACGACAAGACAAGAGACGCATCTTACGACAGCTGCAAGAGGAGAGCTATGATGTTTGCAAGATGTACCATACTGACGGATTTTGCCGGGTGCTCATCTCCGACACAGAACTGGAATGGACCATGGCATCAGCACTTAGAATATGGATGAACATAGGTGAAAAAGCAGAGTTTGGCTTGCTTCTACTGAACAGGTTGTTGCAAACTTCATGAAGGAGGCCTGCTTAAAAGGGAAAGGCAGAAGGAAGGAACTTTGTTGCCTTTTGAATCAGAAACAACTGGACTACTTAATTAAGCAATTGTGATCCCATGGCCCAACGGGGGCTACCTGGTCACCTCCAAGGCCAACGGGTGGCACGAAGTCGGAGTCTTGAGACCTGGCTGCTTTCAGGGCGAGTGATGAGATGATGATTCTCGTTTTGCTTCCAATCCACACTGGAAGATGTAGAGATTCGTAGAATACATGCCAAAGGGATCTAAAAGGTATTGATAGCAATCGCCTAAACAAACTACGAAGTACTGCCTGCTGTGCAGAGTGTAGTTACATAGGTTCTCCTGCTTTGTTCAAAGTGAATGTCTGGTCAACCAGACCTATTTTGATTGGATGGTATCGGTGCTTGGGTTGTTTCCCTCGTGTTCAGTGATGACCTTGTGGGAGTGAGCGTTTCCTTCAAAAACAGGAACCCCTCACTCTGGCAGATCACCCGCTGTGAGGAATTAATGACCTTCGTGGTCTTGGCAGCAAATGCGCTTTGGACAGGCTCACCTGTTGGTTGTTGATAAGCAAGGATGGCCAGCAAACAGCATAGGTGCTCGCAAGGTTTTTCTTGAGACGGGATCAGTATAATATGATGTCT